AGAGCTCTTACATTCTTCTATGCTTTAAGCACAACTTTTCTAATAACATGATGGAGAAGGGCTTGTTCTGAAAAGTGCAGTACATTCAAAACTGAATGCTGCCCCAGAAACCACACAGGATGGAAGTGAAGGGACTTATGGGATAACCAGCCAAAATCATTAGCTTTTCTTACTCCCTCTTCTCTACCCATACTGTAAATCAAATTAGAATATAAAGTCAAGACTAAGATTTACATTCTAAGACTATAAGTATATAAGTATACTTATATACTTATACTATATTCTAAGTATATAAATAATATACTTCTAAGACTTCAAAATAATATATTTTTCTCTAACATCTGTTTTTTCACAGAGTTACAATACTGAACTATGTGTTTTGAAAATAATTCCTCTTTCTGTGGTAGATAAAGACTCATTTTTTGCAAGTAACACACAAATATTTTAGTGACTCATTGCTGTGAGAAACCAAAGGTTAAAGAAATTCTGGGAATGTCATCACAGCAAATGAGGACTGAAAGAGGGTAAAAGCACAGTCCACAACTGAAACACCATGCAGACCAGTAAAATATGGAGGTGGATTATTTTCAGAGAAAAACATCTGCCAGCATAACTTTAGTGCATGAAGAGGAGGATGCTTGCACAGTCTCACCCCATTTTGACAGAATGGGTACTCCTGACATGGTGGATGGCCAGATAACTTTCCATGAAAGTTCTATTTCTACTTCTGGAAAAGATAAAACTTGGACAAAATGGGCTGAGACATTCTCCAGTCCAAAGGAGGCCTCTTCAGTTAGAAGAATGGCCATGAGTAACACATGGAAATAGAGAATGAAAAACCTCCTGGCACTCTCATTTGAAAAGGTCTTCAAGCTTAATTACATAATCATAGTAAATTAAAAAAAAAAACAAACAAACAAAAAACAAACACAAGCAAACAAGAAAATCCCAAATCAAACAAAATACAGTGTTCAAGCTCAGTAGTGACCACATAAAATGAAACTCACTCTTAATGGCTGCAGGATTTGAGACAGTTTTTGGTTTCCATGCAGACACAAGGAGAAAATTGCAAAAGAAGTAATTATTTTTTTAATAGCTACCGTAGCTGTTAAGGGCCAGGAATCTTTTCTGTGATCATTGTCTTCATAGAAAATGCCAACCTTTTGCAAAGAGAGATGAAACCTACCCACACTGTTTTCTCTTCCTAGCAAGCAGCATGATGTATGTGGTCATTACAGGTAACTTATAGCTTATTAAGATGAAAAAGCATTAGCATACTTGATTGAATGGCAGTGAGACTTAGGAAATATGTATTCTAGTTTCAAACAACAGAAAATCACATGCATGAATTTTTAACATGACACCAGAGAACAGATGAAGCCCATCAAAAATAAAAGTATTATATTCTTATTGTGTAATTTGTAAGGATTTTAAAAGCACGAAATGAAATAATGCACTTCTGAAGCAAACTCCCAAACTGCTGTGTTATAGGAAAGCAACCCAAGAGAACTTATTTTTCAACAAGCAACCAGGGTAAAAACATGTGAGAATCAATCAAATGCTTTAAATCAATGGATTCCAGCAAATGAGAACATCTGGAGCAGCAAATCTTCCTGCCAGCTTCAGAATGGACAAGACTGTGATTTACTAGAGAACAGATAAACAACCTGTCAGTGCCACAGGAAGAGACTGAAAAGCAGGTTCCTATTCCAGGGTAGCTCTTCTTAATAAAACCATCAACAAGTTAATTAACATTCAGTGCACAAAGCCCTAGGAACAGGTAAGCAGAAAACCACTGATGTTCCTTTCTTGGTGAGCACAGGCTGAAGCTATTGCTAGGCTGACTAATCTGTCTCATCATCCCAGGTCTTTTCCTTACATGAGACTGAACACTGATTATTTATCAAAATAGTCAGCACTTGATTTTCAGTCATAGGTGAGAGTTTAATATCATGGTAGACTTCATCCAGAATAATGTTTTAGTCACTCTGTTTGTATGAGTGCATTTTCTGTGCAATCAGCACATCTTCCAGCACAGCAGCTCCTTATTGATAACCACAGAAGTTTCTACTTCACAGTTGGAAACTACTATCCAAAAATTGTTTCAGGAAAAAACTTCCAGCAACATCGAGCCTGTACAAATTAGTTTAATTTCACTAAGATCCAGTGTTCTAAAGAAAATACTGGAAGCAGCATATATAAAATTCAGCAATATCCAAACGAATTTCATTTTGCTCAATTCAAATTGACATAACATTTCAGCAATCACTCCATTTCCTTTTACAAAGATAAAACCCCCTCAATATCAAACGGAAACATTTCATTCAGCTTAAAAATTGTGTCTGATCTACACCTTCCACATAGAGATTTACACCTTCCATACTTTCCACCTTTTGAAAGCTTTGAGAGCTGGGGGATCAGCCACCAAGCCTATCAGCAACACACAGGATCTGCTCAGCTGCAAATGCCTTTATACCTTGATGAACTAGACCCAGGCTGCCCAAAACATGACATCTCCTGCTCTGTACAAAAACTCTGCTTTAGGCTCAGCAGTTTACAAATACCTGCAATGCCATGCATGTGCCTCAAGCACTTACATCTGAAACTTCATCTTTATCCTGAGCTCATGGGAGCCTTACCCCATACACACACAATTTTATTCAAAACACCAACCCATCTCAGGCTTTCAGATTTGTCTTCAAATACATGGTTCAATAGCAAGAAAATTTCTCATCTATTCGGTTTGAACAAAGAATAACAAAATTTTAAAGACCTGAGTAATAGCTGCAGTCTATGGTGCCTGCTAAACATTTGTTGTCAGTATAAGGGGAAATTACTTAAATATTTGCTGCCTGTTTTTTTTATTGCTTTTTTTTAATCATTACTATTGCTGCTAGAAGTCTGTTTAAGCATAATGAGAAATACAAAGACAGGATTAGTGCTTCTATTGCACAGTATTTATCTTAATTCTATTTAATATTATAACAAACACTTATTTCTAAATACAACAGGCAATGAACCAAGTTTTTCCTGATCTATGCAACACGCTTGCTGTGCTTTTTAACGACCATGTCAAAAATGAAGTGGTTTTTGCAAGACAATAAACCTGCAAGAAATAGTTGTCTCTCTCATTCCATTATCTGCTCTTTTACCTGCTCTGGATTCTTTGTGTGCATGCACTTTAAGTGAATGTTCTCTCATTACTGTCAAGCAACTTGTCTTGCTATTTCACACTTTCTGGGTGTATCATCACAAATACCTTTCCTTCTCAACCCTTTGCATGCCTAATGATAGTGCCTGCTGGAAAGAAAGGCACATTAGGAAATTAGTTGAGCATAGATGGAAGAGTCAGATTATCAAAAGCAGTCTCCCTGTCACTGTGAAGGTTGATACCTCACACAGCACAGAATTTAAGGTTTGAATCTGTCATGTCACATTGTAAAAGATCAAGAGAAAGTGAAAAGAGACAGATTACACAGAAATAATGACTCTTTGGGCAAAATAAAAATCAGCTTCCCGACAGCTGTTTAGTATCAGCATCTCTCAAGAGGTGGGCAGGACTTTCCTACAGTTTCATAAAGCATATAATATTAGCTAAAAGACATGCTGTCATCATGGAAGTCAACATTTCCTATGACCTTCCCTAAGGATAACATGCATTACAATGTAGTTATTCCAGGCTGAAAATCATTCTGATATTGAATATTCCTGTGCCATCTTTCCACTTCAGAGAACAGCTCACCCAACACCATTCTAAACATGTGTCAAGCTGATTTATATCCATTTCAATAAACCTACCTAATATTTTCCTCCTTTGCATGACAGGTGTACCATCAAAATAATCCCAAAATCAGACTTTCTGGAGCATTGTCATTGAAAGATGTTATTCAAATAAATATTAGGATGAGCAGTTCAGCAGCTTCTCACATTTTTCTGAGACTCCTAGAGAAGGTCTCTTAAAAACCCCTAAATGGAAATGAGGCCCTACCTACTTTCCACTGGGAATTTTTGGAGCTTTTTTGCAGACAGATACCTTTAAAAACACCAACTAGATTCATTGTCTAATGCTATCCACTTGCTGTCTTTTCTAAACAACATGTCATAGTTCCTGAGACTTTAACTCTCAGCATTAACAACAATTTCCAAACCACCTAACAATAACTGGATTTAAGAACTTTACACATTTCAGTTTTCCTTTTGTTGTACGTTTGTCTCAGCTCTGTCCAGAAACCTTCTCCTTCTGGGTAACTTCTCATGTTTCAATCCCCTGACCAGTTTCAGACCACAGCTGATGAAGTCTCATGTCACTGTCACATTTTCTGAAAAATCCCTTCACCAGGATTTCTTCTCCTGGGAAGCTGAGAAGCCTCAGAGAAAAAGGAAAACAATAATTATCTGATTGCTTCTCCTGTGTTTGCTGCTTTGGAATGTGGTCTGTTTCAACAACAGCTTGATTGGCTTCATGTTTTTACTTAATGGCCAATCACCATCAGCTGTGTCGGACTCCGAGGAGTCAGTCACGAGTTTTTATTATTTATTCTTGTCTAGCCTTCTGTCTGTATCCTTCTCTCTTTCTTTAGTATAGATTTAGTATAGCACTCTATCCTATCATGTCATATCGTATCACGTCATGTCATATAATATATCATATCAGCCTTTTGAGAACATGAAGTCAGATTCTCAATTCCTCCTCTGTCCTGGGGACCTCAAATACCACAGTTCTACTTCTCCTCACAGCACACATGATCTCAGCCCCTACCCCAGCCGTGGGACAGGCAGGGACTGTGTCTTGGCTGCAAGAGCCCTCAGTGACGTTCTTCAGCCACCTCCCAGGCTGGCCCCAAAGGGCCCACACAGGGGAAAGGCACTTCCTACCACACTCACCCACCCTACCCGTGCCCAAATGCCATCGTGGCACAGGCCAGCTGCTGGGTGGCCTTTGGGACTGGCCAGGAGGTGGGAGCTCCCAGGACAAGCGCTGGGCTGCAGCTGGAGCTCACCTGTGCAGGAGAAGTCGTCCACGCGCACGTAGCCCGCGACGCAGTCGCAGCGGTAGGAGCCGGGCAGGTTCACACACACCGTGTTGGCGTGGCAGTAGTGCATCTTGGCCGCACACTCATCAATGTCTGCGGGGCACAAACACCCAGGGAGGCTGCAGTCAGGCTCAGCAAAACCAATAACGTGGCATTACAGAAAATAAAGTCCATTTACAATGCCAAAGGCCATTGCCTTTGGCAATTTAGACATATTTGTTTAAATTTAAACACATTTGTTTAAATGCTCGTACTGAAAAACAATGCAAATTCAGTAAAAAATTCTCCTTGAAATAGATTTCATAATTAAATAAATAGATTATGTAAAATTTATAAATAGGAGATAACTCTATAAATATATATCATAAAATAGATGATCAATAAATAATAGATTATTAATAATAATATATATCTAATATATACTATATGTCTCTAATACATATAGATATATATAATGTATTATATATAATGTATCTAATATATAGATAATATATATTATCTATATATTAGATACATTATATATAATATATTATATTATATTAATATTATATTAATTACATTATATATCTAATAACGTGACATATATGTCTAATAACGTGACATTACAGAAAATAAATTCCATTTCCAATGCCAAATGCAATCTGTTTAAATGCTAGTACTGATAAACAAGGCAAATTCAGTAAAAAATACTTCTTAAAATAGATTTAATGAATAAATAAATAGATTAGATAAAATCTATAAATAAGATATAAATATATAAATATATCAATAATAATATAGGTGATCTATAAATAGATTATTAATAATAATATATATCTAATATATATTATATATAATGTCTAATATATAGAGATATATATCTAATATATTATATATATAAAGTATATGATATATATATATAATATATGTATTATATATAATATTATATATATATAATAAAATGACATATAATATATATCTAATAACATGACATTACAGAAAATAAATTCCATTTCCAATGCCAAAGGCAATCTGTTTAAATGCTAGTACTGATAAACAAGGCAAATTCAGTTAAAAATACTTTGTAAAATAGATTTAATAAATAAATAGATTATATAAAATCTATAAGTAAGATATAAATATATAAATATACAGTTAATAATATAGATATTCTATAGATAATCTATTATTAATAAAATATATATATCTAATATATATTATATATATAATGTATATAATATATAGATAATATAACATATATATAATATATAGATATTATAATATATAATATATATCTAATGTATAGTTAATATAATATATAATACATAAGCTTATATAGATATTATAATATTATCTTATATAGAGAATATATATAATCTATAGACGATAACATAGATAAATCTATAAATATAGATAAATCTATAAACAATAGATTTAATAATTAAATAAAGAAATTTCAGTAAGAAAATTCCTTAAAACTCCTGTATCATAGCAATGTGTTCCTTCCCATGGTTCTTCAAGAAACACTATTTCTCTTTTTTAATTCTGGAGAAGCAACACATACATTTTGGGGTTTTTTGCCATGTTATGAACCAGTCTCCTAAGCCCATTTTACGGTTTGTATCATGTCAAAGCAAAAGAAAACATTATTAAGGAGCAGCAAAATCTTGACCTCATGTTTCTGCTTAAGCAATCTCTATTGCTGCTTCAAATCCAAAATCCAAAACTGTTTTCACAACAGTGACTCAAACCTCTCATTTACGTGCCTGTTTAAATATCTCAAAGTTCTGTCATATTGCAAACTGTAACATCTTTTCCCTTCCTTTTTTGACAAAACCAGATATTACACTGAAGAATTGTCTTTATATTTTTCTCAGCAGGACAGATTTTCTGCTTAGCAGCACAAGTTTTACATGAAGTAATTCATGGTTTTCAAAATATTAATTCTAGTGTTACATAGGTCCAGCACAAAGAAAGATGAATCAGAGATATTTTTTCCTCCCATTCCTTTCCTTTTGTTATTGATTGCTCACACTCTGGAAAGGCATCAATTGCAAGCGCAGCTGAAGAACCTCCTTGGCTGGTGAGTGGTCACCCCACAGTGCAGGCTCCTGTCACACCCCTCTGCACCCCATCCACAGTGTCCCTTCTCCCTCCACACAGTGCTCATGGAAACAGCACCAAAACATCAGCACTCAGCCCCAGAATGGGGTGGGGGAGTTTAATTCTGCACACACTGAGCTCATGCTTACCCAAAACCAGGTATTGTGTTTAACCTTCCTAAAGTGAGATGCACCCCCACTTTCCAGGCTCTGCAAACGAAACACATGCCAGCTACACTCACACTTTCTGCACTACAGACATCTGTCCAGTAGGAGCTACCAGCTAAATCTCTTCGTGCTGGCCAGCAAACAGCTGGCAGCTGGCAGCACTTTCTGACTGCTGCCAACTTGGGATGAATTAGAAATGATGGCCTGGAGGCAAAATACTTTGTATACCACTGCAAACACCTTAAACTATCTCATTCTTGCATTTCTGTTGTTTCAGTTGCAGTGCCACTTGATGAAATGAATTTTAAAAAGTCAGGAGCATCAGTACAGGAAAGATAAAAGCCAGGAAAAATCCTCCCACGTCTTGTTATCACACCACGGAGTGCGTGAGCCACTTGGGGAACTCTCAGGTGTTGACGTGTGTTCACACTGATCTGCTTGCAGACTATTTTTAATAGGCTTTTGGAGTGTAGCTTTGAGGAGTTTTGCTCTTGCATATCTAATAATTTTCCAGCATAAAAGGAAAAGGAATGAAAAGAGGTCTGCAAAGAAAGCAAGAATGTCAAAACAGCAACCAATTCACCTGAAAATTAACCTTATGCACTACCCTTCATCTCCTGCACCCTCACTACACTTCTCTTTATTCCCCCAAGGGGAAGTGAGAGGATTAGAAGTCTCAAAGGTGAAGGAATTTGAACTTAGATTCATTGCTAAAACAGCCCAGGTTGCTGCAACAAAAAATATGAGAATACCCAGAGATAAAAAGAAAATTCACTGCCTTTATGAAAATATTGCCATGAGAGAATATCTCAAAAGGAGACTAACGACTTCAAGTGATGACTTGACTATAAATAGAAGAATTGAGAAAATCTGGCACTGTGTCGCTGCAGAAGTTCCAGAGCCCAGGAAGAAAAAGCCTGAGCCTAACAAAGGAAGCAGGAGTAAAAAAAAAAAAAAAAAACAAAAAAGATCTGTCTCTTCAAACTTTGTTCATTTATTTAACTGTCTTTGCAATCTTTAGGGGTTACATTTTCCATAAACTCTTTCAGCATTTCAGATTTTCTTTTACCTTTGCAGTATTAGCCTTTCACTAATACATGCATTTTCTTTAGAGAGAACAATATTGAGAGGTCAAAACTGGCAACAGAATTTTCTTATTAAAGCCTGTAGGGCAACACTAAATCTGTTGCTCTGGACCACAGTGCTACAAATACTTGTAAAAGGTTAGGTATTCATCACAAAAAGCTTTGGGTTTTTACTTAATATTGTTAGAGTAAAACCCATAAAGCACACAGTGGTATATATCAGCTCAGCTGTAATGGAGCTCAAATTGTGATTCATGTGTATGGATTGCTTGTCGCATTTGAAATATTAAAGCTCATCTTCTAGTGGTCTTTGGAGGTGACAAAAATACATGATTTATGCTTCTTTCTAGTCTGGTGAAGTAGTTTGTTTTTCTTTTAAAAAGGTATACTTATGGTCTTTAAAATGAGACTTGACACAGCATAATTATCACGCTCATATCAGCAGCTCCCACCTCCATCAGCTCACACTCTGCACCAACAGAGACCCTTGGGCTGCAGCTTTCAGCAAGGTCTGGGCTGGGACAGCCAAGGGCTCAGTGTCTACCCAGCAGACAGTGAAACAGGGCTCACCATCAGTGCAGAGCTCTCCTTACACACCCTGCAGCTAACCAGCCATCTCCATGGCCCTGCTGCAATAAATACAGAACGTGAGCTCAGAGGCGATGATAAACGAAAATGCCTGTCACTGGTTGTGCCAGGGCACTCTGCAGCGCTGTGAGCACACTGGGATATAAAACACAAGGACAGGATCTCAGAGGAGCTGCCTGCTCAGCACCTGGCAGGTCAGCACCTCATACCAACCAACAAAGCCAGGTGGGAGGGGAAGGCAATACAAATGGTGTTCAGCCATGGAAACCAAGCAAAGAGGTTTTCTCATCTGCAAATGTACTTCACTAACTGTCCAAACCACTTAACTCTCTCTATGCTTGATTCAGAATCTTATTACTACATACCTGTAATGTTTAATATGACAACAAGACACCAGATCTCAACTAGAGCATCTCTTTACTGTTTGTCCTCCCCAATAAATCACATCAAACCAAACTAATTTCAGCTGTAAAGAAGGCACAATACCTATGGATGGCAGTAGGAGTTTTGTCCATTCAGCCCAAGGTGAAATGGAATTATTGTTTTTTAAACTGTTAGTCCTGTAATAACCATGAGGGAACAATTCTGAAACAAAGCACTGTCTGCCTCTGGAATTGTACACCACTCTTTCCATGCACTCAACAATAATCCTTTTACACACCAGTATTGTCATCACCTGTTCTCTGGGGCTTCATTTTCAGTTTAACTACTGAAAGACAGTAACATACAAATCAAAACAAAATGAAACAAACTATGAAGTGTTCTAGAGCAGTAACAGATTATGTTTTTTATCATAATCAATTATTCTATTTGCAGCTATCTCCCAGTTACTCACTTTACAGTTGGGGACTATACCAAACAAAATTAGAATTTTTGGGAACTCTGTAGGGAAGCAAAGGCAGAAAATCAAAAACAGGGAAAAAAACCCCAGCTTTGCAGAAAGCTCTGATGTCTAATTCATGATTATTAATGTGGGGGAGGATTCCCCTCTCCTCTTTTGATTCCAGCCAGCACTATGAGTTGACTTGAATAGCATTAGACCTGGTCTACATAATCAGAGTTTTTAAAAATGTGAAACCAAACAGTGTTACTATTTAAGTAATGTCAAACCTTAAAGTATGTTCACAAGCTGATGGAATCATATCAATGAAGTGTCCAAAACAGCAGAGCA